AGCAGGCTTCCCGCCGAGCAGGGAGCCCGATGCGGGGCTCGATCCCAGGACCCTGGGATCATGACCTGAGCCGAAGGCAGGCGCTTAACGACTGAGCCACCCAGGCGCCCCCAAATTGTGATATATTTTAGAGATACATACTGAAATATTTATGGATGAATTATGTAGCTGGGATTTACTTCCCACTGACATGAGGGTGGGGGAGTGGGTAGGAATATAGATAAAACAAGACTGGCCATTAGCTGATAATTACTGAAGCTGGTGATGGGGGCACTAGGGGTACATTGTAAGATTCTGTGTGAACAGAAAGTTTCAAAACTGTATACATTTTGATGTAGCACTTCTGCTTTTAGGAATTTATCTTAAAGAGATATCACACATATACAAAATAATTTATGTGCAAGGATATTTATTATAGGATTGTTTGAAAGCAAAGAATAATGAAAAAAACTAAATCGACAGGATAAATGAAACACATATACTATGCAGCTGTTAAGAGTAAGGCAACTATGTATGTATCGATATGACCCAATTTCAAGGTTTATGGATAAGCAAAAATAGCAAGTATAGAAATTTGTTACCATTTATGTAAAAAAAACTTTTATAAAGACTGTTATGTACATGTCTACACTTAGGAGGCAAACATAAAAAACAGGAAGTATATACAAGAACTTGATACAGTCATAGGTACATAGAATAACAGAGTGGGAAGGGTGTGGACATTGACTTATGTCTGTACACCAAATCGTAACTTTAAAATGTTTATCCTGTGCATGTGTTTTAACTATTCAAAGTAACACTTATTAATGTCATAGCTTTGAGCCCCTCCAAATGTACATCCTAATCATGAAACCACTTAAAAATGACATACAGAATACTACTTTCTAACCCTGTAGGGCAGTGTAGGCAGTGACACATGTAGAAAATACAGGTGCCTTAGTGAATACTCAGGATGACTGAGAAGATGGATGGCTTCGGGGCACAACAGGCCTGTTGCCCCTGACACTGCCTGGACTGAGGGGATGCTTCTTGAGATTCCCCAGATTCATTCACAAGCTGTGATCCAGGTATCACTGGGGTTGGATCAGGGCTCTATCACTGTCATTTGGAGTGATACCAAAATTCTGAAAACATAACCCACAATAGGTGAAATTCTAGATATTCCATTTAGAATGAGCTTTTTTTTTAAGATTTTATTATTTGACAGAGAGAGAGAGAACAAGCAGGGGGAGCAAGAGGGAGAGGGAGAAGCAGGCTCCCCACTGAGCAGGGAGCCCGATGCGGGGCTCGATCCCAGGACCCTGGGATCATGACCCGAGTCGAAGGCAGACGCTTAACTGACTGAGCCACCCAGGCGCCCCTGAGCTTCTAACTTTAAAGAGACTGGACTCAATTACCAGGGATTTTATTTATAGTTATTTTCACAAATGATAATCATCTACGATTTCTTTCTTGGGAGCCATCCTTGTTGAATTTTTTTAAATCATAATTTTATTTAGCCTTGAAGATAAACTGGCAAGCTTCTCTCAGGTATTATCTATCTGTTCCTTGAAGTTTTAGTAGGTTAAACTACTTTGAAGGGGCAGGCTGACTTTTTATGTCCTTCTACAATCATTGATTTATTCAGGTATTCCATATCTTTGTGAACTTTGATATTTTTGTAAAAATCTATTTAAATTTCCAAATACATTAAAATTTTGCATAGTAGCTTTTTAAAAGGAATATTCACCCCTTCCTTATTCATAATGCTAAATATTTTCTTTTCCAGATCAGGGTTGTTAGTTGTCCATCTTATATTGTTAAATAAATAACCTTCATATTAAGTCTACTGTTGTTTTCTATTTATTTTTTGTTTTTAATGATCATTCTTACCACTGATTTGGGTTTATTTCCCTCTAATGTTTAGAGTTGACCATTCATTCAATGTGCTTAGTATGTAACTGGCAACAAGTAGGTGCTGGAGATCCACATTTGGAGAACAAAGCCCTTACCTTCACTCCTTGGGTTGACAGGAACACAGCTTTGGCTATACTGAACTGGTTTTGATGTGTAGAACTTTTTGACTGCTTTTCAAGTTCTACCTGAAGGTGGCTTTAGACTTCCAAATGGGCAGATTTCTTTTGGCTACTCTTCTGTTAACTTCTACTCTTGTGACTTTCTAGCTTTAAATATCATGATGACCTCATGATAATTATACTTGACTACTGTTTTCTAGAATGAATTATCATTAACAAGTGGTTATGAAGGCTTTTTAATACTTGACACATTCAGAAGGCCTCCTCTCACAAGAAATCCTTAACACTAATACCGTTACTAATTAACAATGGTAACTAATATTTATTAAACACAGGCTTTATATAAAATATCTGATAGGAAAACTCTATTGGGTAAGTATAATGATCACTAGGGCGCCTAGGTGGCTCAGTCGTTAAGCGTCTGCCTTCGGCACAGGTCATGATCCCAGGATCCTGGGATCGAGTCCCACGTCGGGCTCCCTGCTCTGCGGGAAAACCTGCTCTCCCACTCCCGCTGCTTGTGTTCCTGCTCTCGCTGTGTCTCTCTCTGTCAAATAGATAAATAAAATCTCAAAAAAAAAAAAAGTATAATGATCACTGCTTAAAAACAAGTAAACTGAGGAACAGGAAGACTGCATTATTTGTCCAATGCTATACAGTCGGTAACTGGTGGAGCTGAGATAATGTTAAGGAAGATTTATGTCATGGTAAAAGGCACATTCACAAAATATCTTAATATTAGGAATTCTCAGAAATTTAACACATTTTGAGTGGTAATAGAAAGGTTTTCTATATTCATATTAATATTTTTTTCAGCCTAAAGTTTTCCGATGCTTGGTAAGCAGTGAGTGTGAGGCAAAAAGAATTCCCACATTTATTGAATTTTCTTCTGCTATGAGTTATCCGATGTTCCATAATGGAAGTGACAAGTGAAGGTTTTCACATTAATTACATTACATACACATTATCTAATATTGAGTCAGGTGTGAATGCCACATAAAGGCTCCTACACCCCTAATGTTCAAGGCTTTCTAACCAGTATGGATTCTATAGTGTTCAATGAGCTGTGAGCCAAGAATAAAGGCCTGCCCACATTCTCTACATTCATAAGGTTTGATCCCAGGATGAATTCTCTGATGTTCAGTAAGTTGTGAACTACGAATAAAGGCCATTCCACATTCCCTACATTGATAGGGTTTCTCACAAGTATGAATTCGCTGATGATGGGTCAGTTGTGAAACACGAATAAAGGCTTTCCCACATTCCTTACATTCATAGGGTTTGTCACCTGTATGAATTCTCTGATGTTGAATAAGGTATGAACTACGACTAAATGCCTTCCCACAGTCCTTACATTCATAAGGTCTGTCACCAGTATGAACTCTCTGATGTCGTGTAAGCTGTGCGTGCTGTCTAAAGGCCTTCCCACATTCCTTACATTCGTAGGGTTTCTCCCCAGAATGAATTCTTTGATGTCGAGTAACTTCTGAGCTATGAATAAAGCCCTTCCCACATTCCTTACACTCATAGGGTTTCTCACCGGTATGAATCCTCTGGTGGACAGTAAGCTGTGAATGCTGTCTAAAGGCTTTCCCACATTCTTTACATTGATAGGGTCTAGCACCTGTATGAATTCTCCGATGAACAGTAAGTTGTGAGCCACGAATAAAAGCCTTCCCACAGTCTTTACATACATAGGGTTTCTCACCTGTGTGAGTTCTTTGATGCAGAATAAGTTGTGAATGCTGTCTAAAGGTCTTTCCACATTCTTTACATTCATAGGGTTTGACACCAGTATGAAGTCTTTGATGTAGAATGAGTTCTGAAGTACGGCCAAAAGCCTTCCCACATTCCTTACAGTCATAAGGTTTCTCACCTGTATGAATTCTCTGATGTTGAACAAGGTGTGAGGCACGACTAAAGGCCTTCCCACATTCCTTACATTCAAAGGGTTTTTCACCAGTGTGAGTTTTCTGATGCTGAATAAGGTGTGAGCCACGGCTAAATGCTTTTCCACATTCATTACATTCAATCAGTTTCTCACCAATCTCATTGTTCTGATGTAAAGTGAGGGATGTATGGTGCTCAAAAGTGGGCATGTTTTCATACATGACTTTTACTTGCTTGAAACAGCATTCCTGAGTTACTTGTTGTCTTTCAAATTGGCCTTTGTATTCCCAGCCATCTCTCAAACTAGAGCCATCAAAATCACAGCATTTAAGGCTTTCCATTATCTCCCAACTGAATGACTCTATTTCAGAAATATCTTTTCGTGGAAATTTTTCACACCTGGACTCCAGCTCTGAAAAAGGAAAAAAAAATACAAGCAGTTTTACTCTTTTAAGAGAAATAAAAAATTCTATAGCAGACCAGAGAGACAAAATGAAAATCACCTTAAAAAGTGAATGGCTTATGTAAGTCTCAAATATTGCTGTGCAATTTCTGAAGAGCACATAGAGCACACATATGATGAGAGCTCATATGGTGCCAGAAGGGAGCAAGAAAAGAAATTAAGCTGGGGTTTCTCAATTTTATAAAGATTAGAATCATCCAGGAAGCCTGTTAACAACATAAAGGTCTGAGACCACCCCAGACTAAATCAAAATCTACAGGAGTAGAGACAAGGCATATGTGTGCATATGCTTGCCTATATATATCTATACATACTTAAAAAGTATATATGTATATTAAAGATATGGTATGAGGGTTCTTTTTTTTTTTAAGATTTTTATTCATTTATTTGTCAGAGAGAAAGAAAGAGAGCACAAGCAGGGTAAGTGGCAGGCAGAGGGAGAAGCAGGCTCCCTGCTGAGCAAGGAGCCCGATGTGGGGCTCGATCCCAGGACCCTGGGGTCACGACCTGAGCTGAAGGCAGACGCTTAACCAACTGAGCCACCCAGGTGTCCCTACATATATTTAAATTGAGGTAAGATTCACAAAACATAAATCCCCCCATTTTTAAGAGTACAATTCAGTAGTTTGCAATACATTCTCAATATCATGAAACTGTTGCCACTATCTAGTTCCAGAACATTCTCATCACCCCAGATAGAAACCTTGTGCCCATTAAGGAGTCATTCATCATTTTGCATTCCCTCCAGCCCCCAGTAATCACTAATAGCAGAGAACCATTAATTCTGTCTCTATGAATTTTCCAGTTTCTGGGCACTTCATATAAATAAAGCATCTGTGTGTGTGTGTGTTTTAATTTTTTTTAAAAAGATTTTTATTTATTTATTTATTTGAGAGAGAGAGAATGAGAGATAGAGAGCATGAGAGGGAAGAGGGTCAGAGGGAGAAGCAGACTCCCTGCTGAGCAGGGAACCCGATGTGGGACTCGATCCTGGGACTCCAGGATCATGACCTGAGCTGAAGGCAGTCGCTCAACCATCTGAGCCACCCAGGCGCCCTGTGTGTTTTAAGATTTATTTATGTTAGAGAAAGAGAGAGAAAGAAAGTGGGGGGGAGGGGCAGAGGGAAAGAATCTCAAAGTAGACTCGCCATTGAGTGTAGAGCCTGATGCGGGGCTGGATTCCATGACCCTGAGATCATGACCTGAGCCAAAACCAAGAGTCGCATTGAGCTACCCTCATGCCCCAGCATCTATGTTTTTAACAACATAATGCTGACGCCAGTCAAAATGAAAATCCGTGTTTAAATTTTTCCATAGCCTTCTCATTGCATTTCCAAAGTCACTGGAAAAATTCCAATAAATTCCAAAGTCATTGCCCTGGTTCACAGGCTCTTGGCAAAGCAAGTCCCTGCCTATATTTGTTGTCATTCTCTTTCAACCAAGGATAATACATCTTCATATTGAACACTGTCTCCTTTCCTCTCTTAGGTACCATATCACAGGGCTTTCTAAAATAAATATAGGTCTTTTCCATCTTAGATCTCTCATCAGGTTCTTCCATCTATCAGGAATCCTGTCCTGGGCTCAGTCGGTATGGCTGCTTTTCTCATCCTTCAAGTCTCAGATTGAAACTCACATTTTCAAAAAAGCTTTCAGGCCTGATTCTCTCTTCCACATCTTGCCCTAGCATATAATAAATTTTTAATAATGGGTTGTTCAATGAATAAATATTGGATTCTAGAGACAGACCAATAGAACACAATAGAAAGCCCAGAAAAAGACTGAAGTTTATATGGAAATTGAATTTATTATAAAGGTGGTATTTCAAAGGGGAAAAGGATCATTTTTGTAATAAATAATGTTGGGGCAACTGGATACTCATTTGGAAAAATAAAAATGTATCCATATATTACACCACCATATACCAGAATAAACTCCAAATAGTTTTAATGTTAAAAGAAAATAGAAGCCATACAAATACTAGGAGGAAACATGGTAGATTACTTTATAACATGGGGAAACCTAACAATGAAACGATGACTCAAAATCCAAAAGCAGGGTGCCTGGGTGGCTCAGTTGTTAAGCGTCTGCCCTTGGTCCAGGTCAGGATCCCAGGGTCCTGGGATCGAGCCCCACATCGGGCTCTCTGCTCGGCAGGAAGCCTGCTTCTCCCTTTCCCACTCCCCCTGCTTGTGTTCCCTCTCTCATTGTGTCTCTCTCTATCAAATAAATAAATAAAATTTTAAACAACAACAACAACAAAACAAAATCCAAAAGCAACCAAAGCAGATTGGTAAATTCCAGTATGTAAAGGTGAAAAGCAAAAGAAAACAAAAAACTTGTACATGAACAAAAAACAACAAAAGTAAAATCAAAAGACAAATGACAGAGGAAAATACTTGAAATTTATATCACAGTTAATGGAATAATCTTCATGATTTACAAAAAGTTCTTAAAAGTTTGAGAAATACCCTCAAAAAATTAAACATACAATTACCATCTGATCCAGCAATTCCGCTCCTAGGTATATACCCCAAAGAAGTGAAAACAGGCACTCAAAACACTTGTACACCATTGGTCACAGCAGCATTATTCACAATAGCCAAAAGGTGGAAAGAACCCAAGTGTGCATCAACAGGTGAATGGATAAATGGAATGTGGTATATACATACAATGGAATATTACTCATCTTTTTTTCTTGAAATTCTGGTAAGTGCTATAACATGGATGAGCCTTGAAAACATTATGCTAAGTGAATTAAACCAGATACAAAAGGCCACATATTATTTGACTCCACTTACATGAAGTACTTAGAATAGTCAAATTTATAGAGATAGGAAGTAGAATAGAGGTAATCACGGGCTGGGAGAAAGGGAAAATGGAGAGTTATTGTTTAATGGATAGAGTTTCTATTTGGGATGATGAATAAATTCTGGAAATGGGTAGTGGTAATGGTTGCACAACACTGTGAATGTAATTAATGCTACTGGATTATATACTTTAAAAATGGCCAAATGGTAAGTTATATGTGATATTCATTAAAATAAAAACTAAAAACCTAATTAAAAGCTTCCCAAGACCCCAAGAACTACAAGCACTTAGAAAATACACCAACTAAGAAAAGAAAAAGGAAAAAAAAAAAAAAAGAAAACACACCAACTAAATATCCTGTATGGAATAAACAGTAATGGGCTTCCTAGCAATAGAATATAGAATTCCAGTGGAGTTATACCATATACACTTTTAATTTATGCATATTTAATTATCTGTATTCAAAAAACATATACATCCACGGGGTGCCTGGGTGGCTCAGTTAAATGTCTGACTCTTGATTTTGGCTCAGGTCATGATCTCAGGGTCGTGAGATCAAACCCCGCATTGGGCTCTGTGATGGACATGGAGTCTGCTTAAGATTCTCTCTGTCTCAAAAAAAAAAAAAGATTCTCTCTGTCTCCCTCTGCCCCCCCCACCCCCCAACTCATGCTCACACTCTCTCTTTCTCAAAACAAAAAACCATATACATCCACAGTGAAGGAGACAATCAACAGAACTAAAAGGCAACTTATGGAATGGGAGAAGATATTTGCAGATGACATATCCAATAAAGGGTTAGTATCCAAAATCTATAAAGAACCGATACAACTCAATACCAAATAATCCAGTTAAAAATGGGCAGAAGGGGCGCCTGGGTGGTTCAGATGGTTAAGCATCTGCCTTTGGCTGAGGTCATGATCCCAAGGTCCTGGGATCGAGACCCACATCAGGCTCCCTGTTCAGCAAGGAGCCTGCTTCTCCCTTGCACTCTGCTTGTGCTCTCTCTCTCTGTCAAATAAATAAATAAAATCTTAAAAAAAAAATAAAAATAAAAATGGGCAGAAGACATGAAGACATTTCTCCAAAGAAGACATACAGATGGTCAACAGATACATAAAAAGATGCTCAATACCACTTATCACCAGAAAAATGCAAATCAAAACTACAATGAGAAATCACCTCACACCTGTCAGAATGGCTAAAATAAATAACACAAGAAACAACAAATATTAGCAATGATGTGAAGGAAAAGGAACCCTTGTGCACTGTTGGTGGGAATACAAATTGGTGCAACCCTTGTGGAAAACAGTATGGAGGTTCCTCAAAAAATTAAAAATGGAACTACCCTATGATCCAGAAATTGCACTACTGCGCATTTACCCCCAAAATACAAAAACACAAATTCAAAGGGATACATGTACCCCTACACTTATTGCAGCATTATTTACAACAGCCAAACTATGGACACCCTAAGTGTCCACTGATAGGTGAATGGATAAATAAGATATGGTATATATACACAATGGAATATTATCCAGCCATAAAAAAGAACAAAATCTTGGCATCTGCAAAAACATGGATGGAGCTGGAGAGTATAATGCTAAGTGAAATAAGTCAGAGAGAGACAGATACCATATGATCTCGATCTCACTCATATGTGGAATTTAAGAAAACAAATGAGCAAAAGGGAAAAAAAAAGAGAGACAAACTAAGAAACAGACTCTTAATTGCAAAAAACAAGTATCAGAGGGGAAGGTGGGTGGGGAGATGGGAGAAATAGGGAATGGGGATCAAAGAGTACACTTACCATGACGGGGAAAAAAAATGGTTAAAAAAAAAAAGCCAGCCCCCCCCAAAAAACCCT